GTTCTCACTAAACATTATTTGTTTGTTAAAATAGTTAGTTATAGGAAATAAATTAATGATGATAAATAAGCTTCTGTCAGTCATTTGTACAGTAACATATTATATATTTAACGAAGCTAAGTATGCACTGATATATAGGGTGTTCCATTTAAACAAAAAATTTTCTTTTATTTAGTGATTTCCATTATTCAATTGTTTTTTCTAATACTGTATATAAAAATTCATAAAAAAGGCAAAAATTTTTGTATTAAAACTTTTTTGCAATTTCAATAATAAACTCACAATAAGTTGTCAGATTATAGTGACTAACCCTGTACTTTAAGTGTGCACAAAGCAGGCACTGTCGGACTATTTTGCAAAATTTCTGGATGCGTTGGAGGCGGTCCGATTTTAATTTTTCAGCCGGATTTTAGAAAGTAGAAGTATAATACTACAAAACGTATATTCTAATTTTCCGATAAAATGATGCGAAATAGGTGAAAAATTATTCCAAACATGCTCAAAACAGCCGAGCGCGCGTACGCGGGCGAATAATGGGGGAAGATTGGGAGATGATGATGATCGGGGGATGAGATGAAAACCCAAACGAGTTTTTTGGATTTTGGCTCGTCTTGTGCCTTCCACTTGGTACTTTGGTGCTTGGTTTTTGGATCATATTGAAAAACTACGTTCTATCACCATTCACAATCCTGTAAAGGAAGTTCGTGTCCTTTTTGGCCTCCTTGATGATGTTCTCCAAATGTTAAATTCTAACCAATATGGTAGTGAGTCAACTTGTGCTGAACAAATCGTGCGCACATTATTTGGTAGCCCAAATGTTCATCCAAAATGCGACAAATTGATGTTTTCGAGATGCTCAATCCCAGTTTTATGGGTTTAAATGGAGATTTTGGCCGATCTTTAATGAATTCACGCACAGTGTTGATGAAATCTGCGGTGATCACGGATTTCGGTTTCTCAACGACCGTTTTTAATCGGCTTATAACACTCATGAACTCTGCCACGGTATAAACAATCATCGCCATAAAATTGGTTCCTCATTTGACATAATTCTTTTAAGCAAAAAAAAACAAAAATTTATTAATAAAATTTTTCGTCACACTACTGGATTGGAAAAACTTGCCACCCATTCAGAAGCTGACAGAAAGAAAATAAGATTTACATAGACGGTCATAAAACCTGACACAGGACAGTTTTTAGGTTAGAAGAATGTAAAAATAGAATTATTTCGCAGCGAATCCTGTAATACTAATATTAATTGATCAAAATCCCTGTTTAACAGGCATATTTAGCTGTTTTACTCGTAACTCACTGCAGATATTGATATTCACAGAAAAAAAGAAAGGAATCGTTTTTTTCGTACTCTGAATAGTTTCTGTGACTTATATTATACAAGATTAAAGTATTTTTCAAAGAGGAAAAGAAAGTCAAGGAAACAGGTGCAGATGCATATTTCTTATCAAATATGTAAGGATTTGGAAGGTATTACAAGTTTAATCGACATATAATGTCGACCTAAGCAAGTATGTTATTACAACATTTGTAAAATATTTTCAAACAAATGCTACATTCTAAAATCCTTTGAGCAAGTTGATGATTCGTCTCATAATATCATAAATATGTCTAAGAATCTACATTCAACAATAAAAATGAATACACAGATTTAAATCGACATTATACGCCGATTAACCTACGAAATTCCTACATATTTGATAAGAAATATAAGTCTAGACCGATTTTTTAACACGAATGCTTTAATCTTCTACAAATCCTACATACCACACTAGTTTTGTATAAATATCCATACATCGAGGACTATCACCATACAGTTCTGAACTTCAGTGAACAACAATGAACAATTTCGTATACCTCGCAACTTTAGCTCTTGTACTGACGTCCTTTGTAAGTATTCAACAATTTAATAAGATAAATTTAAATTAAATATACTTTATGTAACGTATCTTTGCAGGTCAGTGTACAAGGGTATGCTTTAAGTTCACGTTACCAAGTACAGTCAGATGAAGTTGCAGCTGAAATCGAACAACCAGAACTTGCAGTTGATGGAGAACATCCAGAACTTCCCTCAGGAGTCGAACAGCCCGAAATCCCTGCTGAAGCCGAACAACCAGAACATCCTGTAGCTGGAGAACATCCAGAACTTCCTGAGGGAGCTGAACACCCAGAACTCCCATCTGAAGTGGAACAGCCCGAACTTCCAATTGGTGGAGAACATCCTGAACATCCTGAGGGAGCTGAACACCCAGAACTCCCATCTGAAGTGGAACAGCCCGAACTTCCAATTGGTGGAGAACATCCTGAACTTCCTGAGGGAGCTGAACAACCAGAACTCCCTTCTGAAGTGGAACAACCAGAACTACCAGTTGGTGGAGAACATCCAGAACTTCCCTCAGGAGTCGAACAACCTGAAATTCCTGCTGAAGCCGAACAACCAGAACTTCCAGTTGGTGGAGAACATCCAGAACTTCCCTCAGGAGTCGAACAACCTGAAATTCCTGCTGAAGCCGAACAACCAGAACTTCCAGTTGGTGGAGAACATCCAGAACTTCCCTCAGGAGTTGAGCAACCAGAAATTCCCTCTGAAGTCGAACAACCACAAGGTTCAGTTGTTGGAGAACATCCAGAACTTCCCTCAGGAGTCGTTGAACCAGAAATTCCCTCCGAAGCCGAGCAGCCAGAACTTCCCTCTGGAGTCGAAGAGCCACAATTCCCATCTGGAGCCCAACAACCAGAACGTCCAGCTGGAGGAAAACAACCACCTGTTGAAGCAGTACACCCAGTGATGCCTCTGGAAATAGTACCAGTAGAGGTAGAAGAACAGTGAAAGTCGAATAACTCGCACACTGATTTGTAAAAAACAAAACATTTCAGAGTTATCTGAAGAACAAATCTAGTTGTGACTATAAATTATGTTAATTAGAGCTTATGAGAGAATAAATCATTGATTTCATCCATATTGACATTCTTTTTTCTTTTACAAACATGTAGGTACTTACTAGTTTGGCATTTAGATATTTTATTATCTGAACTGTGGACGTGTCGAAAGGAATTAAAATTTTTGATTGCATTTATTTCATTCAATTGACTTTTATAGTATAAATAATCGGTTAGATTTTAATATGCAATAAGTAATTATAAAAACCAGACAAAATATCAATATTAAGAAAAAAAAATGGAATTTTCAAGCGATGAAGAATAATTGCCCTTTGAAGTACTGCAGGCAGCAGAAAGTGCAGTATCGCAACTGTCTCTCAAAAATATGCAGAACAATATGAAATAGTTTACAATTACTTCAGAACTTACATCATTTTCGAGGAAGGTCAATAATCGAGATTAAACAAATTTAACCCATACTATTTAAAAGTGGTTAAAAAACATCTGAGAATGTGTTACTGACATATTTTGAATATAAAATCACAGTGTTAATAGACTAGGCGGTATCTGTTTTGGTTTGGGTGAATCGTATATGCACGGAGATTTTTGGCTTTTTGGCTTTCCAATATGACTAGAAATGAAAATTTTTCAATGCGCATAAAAAGAAACGTGGGCTTAAATTTGGCGGCACAATATGTTAAAAAAATTCGAAAAATGTTATATTTTTCTTCCTATTTAATTATGTATCTTTTCAGGAGTTGATTTTAGGCGAAAATGGAAGAGGAAAAAATGTTTGTAAATTAATTTAAATTTTTTACAAAATATGACTAGTTACAAATCGAATGAATCACGATTATTATTGTAAAAATCTAAAAAATCACAAAAAATGGTGTTAAAAAACATTACTTTTTAGGGAGTTTTTGGAGTCTTTAAATTGGGTATAGGACCTTCATACTTGGCTCAAGAAAACTTCATGTTATGTAAAATCATCACACCAAACTTCATCAAAATCGGTTTGATAGACTGCATAATAATTTTGCAATTCAGATGTTGAAGAAAAATTTGCAAATTTTCAAAATTTTGCACAGCAAAAACCAAGGTCCTTAGATAGTTGAAAATTTAGTCACATACAGCAGGGCTCTCAAGCTTTCAAACGCTTTCTGAAAAATTCAAATCCGTCAACTAGGAGAGCTCTGACGTTTGTTTTAAAAAAAAAATTTTTAAAGCAGGTTTTAAAAGTTATTGGAAAGACGCTTCTTTAAAAAAAAAACAGATTGATTGGTCAATTAGTTACGTAGTTATAGCCGATCAAAGTTAACAGTCATTTACACTAAATGTACTGGGACATCCGGGCTAATTTTTCGAAAAATACCTTTGGTATTCCGAGTACTTACCAGGTCTAAGATTACAATACTTTTCTTCATTGGCAACCTACTTTAAAACGTGTTTAAAGTTATTTATGCAAGCGAGATATTCAAGAAAATCGTACGGGTGGTGGTGGTGGGGGAAGCAGAGAGCGCGGCCGCTTCGGCCTGCTCGAAATTGAATCGGC